ATTTGCTCTGTAAACTTTCACCCAAATCACAATAAAAAGAAAAAAAAAAAAAAGATTTGGGCATTTAGAACATCTTTAACCTCTGCCTCAAAGGGACCAGCCTTGTGCTGATCCTTCCAAAAGAAATTAATTATGCACCATATTTCAGTAATTAATCATGCATTAATTCACTTATTCTTCCACTCAGTAAATACATATTAGGTAGCTACTGTGTCCCAGACACTGTGCTAAACCCTGGATTCTGGAGCCACAAAGATGATATGTGAACTGGGAGGCACTCACTTTCTAATGAGGGAGGGAAACTCACAGAATTACAGCCCAGTTACTTGTGATGTCACAGGAGGCACTGTAGACATGGAGACAAAACACTACCTCTGTTTACGATGAGGACAGCAAGTGTGGCTTCACAGACATTTGAACTGAATCTTGATGGTTTAAAAGAGCTTGGCAGGAAGTTAAGATGTGTGTGCTGTGGGTTGGCTTCAGGCAAAGAATGTGAAGATACAGAAGGCAGCATGTGGCTCTCTCCACATAGTCCCATAGTCCCATGAGTCTGCTCTGTGGTCATCATGCCACAGGCCAGGCAGGTAGGCACTGAGCACCCAAAAGGCATGAGTATACAAGCCACCCATTTGCAATTTATTTTCTCCAAATTGGCCTAGGTTTCCCCAAACCTTCAGAACTGGGCAGTCACCAATTGTGTGAATCAATAACTCCCTTAGGTTTTGAAAGTTTTCTCTCTACCTCTGTTTGAAATCTGTAATTTTCACTACTTTGCTGATTTTAGAACCATTTGCTTGCGTTCTTCTCTTGTCTCCTTAACAATCCCAGCTTCATCTGCCTCCTGGCACAATTGCTGAGCTTGACTCCTCAGGGATGAAATCTGCTCCTTATTCCCTTGTATCTGGAGTAGCCGGTTCTGCCTGCAGCCCCCAACTAGCTCATCACTCCTAAGCTTAACTTGCTAAACTGAACTTGGTCAAGGGTCAGAAACAGAGGTGCAGAGGGAAACGAGGCTTAATGTGTATTTTCAGAAATGAAATGTGTTTAGAAGTATGCACTGAGGTCTTTCTTTGCCCCAAAAAATTTAACCACATTAGTAGGTTTCCCAAGACCTTCCCCATCCAATCCTTCCATCTGGAATTTTTACTTTAGATGACAAAGCTTAATTTGTAACCATGCTTTTAAGTGCTCCTTTGAGAGGAAAATAGAAACATGTATTATAAAATATAAGATGATGTATATAATACACCGGGTTTGAGTGTGTGTGTGTGTGTGTGTGTGTGTGTAAAAATTCTATTCTGGATCATGCTGGTAATTAACTTTTGTACAAGATTGTTTTAGAAAAGGTTGTCTTACTGTCTGGGCAAAATAAATACTTTCAACCTTTTTAACTACCGTTACCCCAGTGAAAGCATGTGGACTATTCAGGGAACTACAAAGAATTTGGTGAGGTTGAAAGCATACAGTAGACAGGGGGCTGGCCAGGCACAGGTGGGGCAGAGGAGAGGCAGGGTCAGATCTTGAGGGGTCTTGTGCACCTTACTAAAGAAGATGGACTCTATGCCAATGGCCTTGGGGAGCGGCCTTTCAGAAGGGTCACTGGCAGAAGGTGGAAGGGATTGAGGAAAAGACCAGACTAGTGTGATGGGCCTGGAGATATGGAAGGAACCCAAGGGTTGATAGAAGAAGACTCAGATGGATATATTACCTGAGGAATAAGAATGGGAGAAAATGGGGTTTTAGGATGGTTTAAGGCATTTTGCCTAGGCAACCAGACAATGATGTTACCTACCATGTATTGAGACCCAGAGAGAGAGGAGGAGAGCAGATTTAAAGTGTGTTAATTTCCCCAGTGCTTTCAGAACTAGATTGAAACTCTCAAGCCTTCATAGGATTCCAATGTCCCTTTCCAGGTCATCTCCCACAACATTCCTTATACCCGACATCCTCTATTCCACCCCAATGACCACCTTTTTCATTGATATTTTTCTAACTGTAGAAATAGTAGGTATTTATTGCAGAAAATTTGGAAAATACAGAAAAGTATAAACAAAATAAAGGTCACCCACAAACCCACCGTCTTACAGATACCCACAGTAACCACTTGGGATGTTTCTTTAAGACTTTTTTTTCCCTGTAACTGTATAAATTCTGTATAAAGTCTTACATTTCTATTACAAAACTAAAATTATATGTACACAGAGATTAGTAACTTACTTTTCCCCCCATTTAATATTATATTGTAGGAATTTTCCAGAGTCATGGCATAGTTTTTGAAAACATGATTTTAATGACAATGATAAGTATAATAAGCTATTTACAATTACTTTCATAATTGATATGTTTGGTCCTCTCCTACCACCATATTTTGTATTTCTGAATACTTTCTTCTTTTTTCCTTTTTGGTTTTACAATATCTGTTTTCTTTGCTTCCTCCTGCCCGCTCTAGAGAATTGAAAGGCCTCCATTCTGTTTGGAGAACCTTCACTGAACTGCTTACGGTTCCCTTACAAGGCATTTATTTGCACCTCATGTCCCCTCTGCCAAATGCCCTTTCCCTCTTTTCAGTCTGCAAAATCCTTCTTATCCTTCAAACTCTCAGGAGGTATCTCATTCATTCATTCATTCAAACGCATGCTTGAGGATCTACATTGGGTCAGGCCCAGAAGCCACCAGGAGTACAACAGTGAATATGACAAAAACCTTGTGAAACTTCAGTTTCCCAGTGAGGCTCCCCTATTCTTCTCCAGGAGCACATGTCACGCCCTTCTTCGGTTACACTCATAAATTTTTGTTTGCCCTTCTTTTTGAACACGTATCACATATTTCGGTATTTTGTGGGCTGTGAGAACCCCAGTGGGCACCTTACCCACTCTCACCTCATGTCCTTCCAGGACCCACAAACCGGTAATGATTGCATCTGTCAGGGAGTGGAACTGATGACCTCTGAGTTCAGCGACAATATTTCTAAACCCTATCTTGGGACACTCAGTTTGACAAACCCTAAACAGCAGTTGTGTTATATCTAAGAGACTTTTGGAACTCACATTCTGCCATCAGGGGCTACAATTAGTACAAACAGTGCGTTTGTGGAAAGTAAGAAAAGGGGACAGAATGCAGCCCGTGGGAGCGCTGCTTGGTTGGGAGAAAGCTGGATTTCTATCCCAGCTCAGCCCTTCTCCACCGACCCAGGTATTGGGGGCACAACTCCCCGCTTCTGACCTGACCCATTTTGGGCCCTTCCTTTATCTCCCACCTCTGTGGCCAGACCAGGCCATATTGCCCACACATTCTCACAGGTTCCCATCTGTCTCTCTTTGTGTGAGTCAATCAGTCTCCTCTCAGCCACTGCACCCTGTGGCTCAACAACTTCCTCTTTGTCCTGGGGCAACATCAACGGCCTCTGGCCCCTGTGCTCCACTGGGCTACAGCCTGGGCTGGTCTCAGAGACAGCACAGTTGGATCCTGTCCCCTCCTCTCCATCCATGGCCACAAGGGAACTTTCTCCACTCCTCATTTAGCTCACACTCACCTGGGAGAAGGGGAGCAGCTCAGCCCTGGGATGGGAGAGGAGACACGGACAAATACTAAACCTGTAACAGGGGACGGGTCAGCGAGACCAGATGTTTGAAAGGTCAATAGAATTATTCAGCACCTAGGCCCCACTATGGGGCCAGACTTCTCACCACCTGCCTCTGTGTGTGTGTACGTGTGTATGTGTGTGTTGGAGTGAAGGAGGCTTTGAAGAAGGGGTTTAGTGGCCGAGATGGACAGTCCATACTTGTGTTCAGCGTTCTTTATTGGACTACAGAGTTCAATCTTTGGCTACATTCACTCATCTGAGCAAAGATGAGGACATGTATGTTCCAGCAGGCTGTAGCTGTGTGCCCCTCCCCAGTCTGTAGCCCTGCACCCCTCCCTCACACCATCTGTATTCGATACCATCCCTTTACAAATGTTGCCAAATCCTCATCTTCTACACACAAGCACACCCATGAATAGACCCACACATTTGCTGGGGGTTTTGAGAACTACAGTTGTCCAGAAACTCTTCTTACCTCTGCCTTTAAGAGGAGAAATATCCAAAGCCTCTTGTCTCAGTCCATGAGTGAGGGAGAGTGTGGTGGATTGGGTCATGGGACAGGCTAGAGTCCAGGTTCTCTGGGAAAGGTCACCGACACAGCTGAAGGCTGAAGGCACAGATGGAAGCCCCTCCCAGCCAGTTCTTCGGGCTCAGCCGTCCCTCTAATCTATGGGGCCAAGGCTAATCCCAGGTGGAGTTTCCTGGGTTGTCATTTGCTTTTTCTTCTCAGACTCTGGTGTCCCTGGAAGATCATCCAAGAAATGCTAGGTCAAAGCCATTTGACATTGGAGACTCAGCAGCTATCTCCAAAGACAAAAGAGATGGAGAAAAAGTGATGGGAGAGGAAGTAGGTGTTGATGAGAAAGGTTCATGTATTCAGTCCACAAATGTTCAGTGAGCATAGGATGTAGACGTGAGATGAGGATGCTGTGTGAAGATATAGGATGAGGGTGTTTTGAGAAGATTCAGGATGAGGATGCTGGGTGAGAGTGTTGGGTGAGGATGCTTAATGAGGATGAAGTTGAAAGTGATGATAACAGGAAAGGAGATGAAAGCTGGGAACGATGCTGACCTCCACTCTTGTTATTCATAAGCATTGAGAGGCATTCCTGTCTCTCACCTCCACCCCATCACAAGTGGGAGCCTCCACAGTCCCACCTTCACTGCCCACCAGCGGCTCTTCCTCCCCTTTTGGGCTAGGAGCTGACCCAGCCTCCAGCTCTTCCAATGCCAAGGAGCCCTGGTGAGACTTCTTTCTCCCAAAGAAGGTAGTGAGCGTGGGCTGCCGACCAGATCCCTCCCCATCATGGCCCCCAGAGCCCTTGTTGCCCCCAGACCCTCCAGCTGTTGCTGTCACTGCCTCCTCATCGGGCACCCGGGCCGGCCCGGCCCAGGCATCTACCACCCTATGACGCTTTCCATTCCCGCTTAGCGTCAGGGCCCCTGTCCGCTTCTTCTGCCGCCGACGCCACAGCAGCAGCAGTGCCACGAGGACAATGACCACCAGTAGGGCCACAAGCACAGCTACTAGCAGGGTGCCATTTTTCCCTTGATCTGAATGTGAGGAGAATCTGGTGGTTGAGTTTGTTGAGGCCTCTGAGGTGACCATGGTGGATATTTTCATGCTAGAGACCTCCAGAGTTCCAGTTGTCTTGGTGACAGGGTGTCCACTGGTCACATTGGAGGTCTCCAGTGAGCTAGTAGTCTTGGTGACAGGGGGTCCACTGGTCACACTGGAGGTCTCCAGCGAGCTGGTTGTCATGGTGACAGGGGGTCCACTAGTCCTATAGAAGGTCCCCAGAGAGCTAGTTGTAGTTCCACTGGGCTCAGTGTGGGACCCCAGAGAGTTCATTGATCTGAGGACAGCAGGGTCACTGGTTGCATTAAAGGTGTCCAGGAGCACTGACACATTCTTGCTGGAAACTTCTTGGTAGGCTGTTGGCTCAGGTGCAGTGGGGACAGTGTTGGTACTAACAGAAGTCCCAAGAGAAGTTACTTCTTCATTGGCTATAAAGGAACTTGAGGAAGGTAACGTTGAAATCTGGTCCCTGGTGCTGTAAATCTTCATAGGATTGGAAGTCATTGAGTTGTGGTTCAGGGTCTCAAGGGTATTTGAGGTGGTATCCAGAGAAATAGACGTCTGCAAGGATGTTGTAGTTCCCCAAGACTCTGAAGCCACCTCCTGAGCCCAGGAGCCCCCAAAGAGGAGGAGAAACAGGGCTATTTCCATGGCAACTGGTATCAGCAGAGTTTGAGACCTGAGGGTGGGGAAGTTTGAGAAATAGTACACAAAAGGTGCTGGGAGGGTGAGGGGATACTGGCCAGGCCCTCCCCTCCTGCCTACTTCCCTACCAACTGCCAGCCCAACTTGCGGTTTAACGGCTTTTTCCACACTTGGTTTTACTATTATCAGAAGTAACAAGGGAACAGATGCTGACAGCTCTCTATCAACCTCATCCCATAGGCCCCCTCAGGCCTTGGCAGCTCAAACTAGCAACAGCCACCCCCTCCTGGCCTCCCCTGACCCTGTTCAGCCCCATTGGCGCCTGATCCTCTTTTCTCATCACCCATCCAGGACCTTTCAACCCATAGACACAATTCTAGGTCCACTGAGGCCCTTCCCCCACAAGGTGGTACCCCCTTACCAGCTCAGGTGACAAGACCACAGGGTTGGGGCCAAGGACACAAGGCTGGGACCAGGCCACTCCAACTCCTCAAAAGGCTGAAGCGGGACTGGAGCAGACAGAGCCCCACGGGGAAAGGAAGTGGCTCTGGCTCCACCCACCACACCCCAGCATCCTGCCCTGACGCGCCTTGCTCCCACAGCTGCTGTGTGAGGACAGCGCCATCACCTACTCTTTCTGGGGCCTGAGATAGTGCCTGGGGGCTCTGGGATCCCAGCTTAGGCAGGAGGGAAGGGGGAGTCTGGAATGAGGATATTTGAGTCTTAACTAGGGGTTGGATGGCAAGGGGTGGAGCTGGGGTCAGGATGGCGGCCAGAGTAGGGGTGACTGGAATATGTACTTGAGAGCTAGGGTGGGCAGAGCAGGAGATGGGTGGGGAGGGTGGTTTCCTTTGCGCTGTGGTCCCCAAGCTGTTAGCTCACGGCCAGGGTGGCGCCATTTCCTGCTTCAAGAGCTCCCAGGAAGTACCAGGGCAAGGGGAAGCCCCCGACTCTACCTGGAGGCAGTGAAAGCCTTTGCAGGTTGCATGGGATCCCTGGTGGGCTTTTGGCTGCTTCACTAGGAACTGGGGTCACCACAATGCCCCCCAGTAGTAGACTTCTTACCTAAATCAAGCCGATTACCAAGCACTGCATATGTTATGATCTCATTTTTTTAGAAAACTAATAATGATATGAGAACCGGTATGGAAAACAATCTAGAAGAAAATCTACTGAAATATTAATCAAGCTGTCTTTGCGCCGGTGTGAGTAGGGGGCCTTTATATTCTTTGTTGGTTGGTTTCCATTTTCTGACTTTTCTCTGATTAGTAAGCTTTGACTCTGATGTGTGTATGTTTTTGATTTATCCCTTTCTTTTTAAAAAATCAAAAATGAATGTTATATTGTAAAAGTAATACATGCACATCATAGAAACTTGAAATAAGCTGATTTCAGCACCTAGGATTGTACTCTGTTTGCAAGCTAATTAATTAGTCTGACACAAAACATGAAATTTCTGGGTCAGAGACAAAGAAGTTTATTACAGCCAGGCAAGCAACACGAGCACTGTATGCATCCATTTCCCTTGCCCCAAGCTCCACAGGGACACAGAGCCCCCAGATTAACGCCATGCACCTGGTAGATTTGCAGTGCATCTGACGAACATTGTAATTTGGGAATTCCTCTTTTTTATAGCAGGCAGTAAACAAACCCGCTCTTTGAAGGGTGAAATTCCTTCATCAATCGGAGTTGCTCACTGCAAACACAACACTGAGAAACAGCATGAGCAAAGAGGGGTCAGGGCCTTGCACTCTTGGCCTGCCAAGCAAGAACATGCAGGGCTGTCTGGAAACCAAGGTAGACTGCCTCCACCAACAGTCACAAGAGCATAAAATGAAAAGGCTCCATACCCACTGCACAAGATGAGCATTCGTAGCAGTGTCTGTGGTTATACAAGCATATATGCATGTATTTTATTATATCAGATTTTACTATATAAACTAGTCTGCTCTTTTTC